CCGGCACCAGAAAAATACAAGGATATATGAAAGGGATACCCAGCAGTTGGTGGTTGACATTGAGCCGCCTAACTCGTCACAAATTTCAGGTTTATCCTTTGCTCACCCTTCCACTTAGGTCCTGAATTTTGATGCTACAGTACTGGTGGTTAAAAGTTCCTTAAAGTAGCCAAGTTTAATTTGGAAAAGTTGACAAAAGATACAAAACCAGGCGCAATAATATATTTCCCATTTTCATGTAAAAAAAACACACTTGTGTTTGGAAATATTATAAGTCTTTTGATTAAACCGAAAAAATTGTATGGGAAAATCAGTACAAAATACTTCTTAATTTGATTATTAATAGATTAACAAAGGAGCAATAAAGCGCCCGTCGATTTACCTTTACCAAAGTTAAACAACTTTAATACAATTGATTTTAATAACTAAATAAAAACGCGCCGAACAAATGTACAACTTTTCACCAACGGACTTATAAAAACTGCCAAAAAATAGCTATTTGGCCAGCACTATCACGATCCTGCTGCTGCAGTCATTGAATACAAAATTGACTTTGACTTTTTGACAATTATTAGTTGAACGCATGTTGAGTTTGCTCTTTTGGCTGCCTTCCATTTGTTTTTCCAAGCGCGAAATTGTTTGTTGTTTGTTCGTCAATTGAAATGCAGGAAAAGAGGGTCGCCTGGAAAGCTGTTTTCTGAGGCTGTTTTTGTTCGAACTTCCTGCGATTGTTCACAGTCTCGCCGGGTTGACAGATCTGTGACAGCCCCCGAACTCTGATTCCCCGGTTCTGGTGCCCATATCTGATGGATGCCACTTGGGCCATTGTTCGGCAAGTGCTAATGTGCAACCCGCGCTGCGGAAATGTTTCGTTTTCTGCCTGGCCAGGCCAAACGGATTCTGCGGCCTTTCCGAAATTGTTAATCAGCCAAATGCCAGCAGCGCCTATTCAAATTCAAATTTTGAAATTTTCCTATTTCAATTTGATTCTGGTTTTCTTTTTTCTTTTACCAACACTGAGGGAAACCCATAAACCATATTTGTGTAATGCAGATTTCTTTACATTTAAAACAAATTTTAATGATACTTGCTACAAATAAATAAATACATTTTATTATCAATGCAACTTATAAAATATAAATTAGTTATGTTGTTGTCACACGTGTTCCCTAAATGTATTTTTTGTTAAGCTTCATGGAGAATACACAAATACTTTATTATGATTAAACATTTACTTAAATTAATGAAAATGCAGATTACAACATATGTTTCTTGAGTCTGTCTTATGAATATTAAAATATTTTTTATAAAAACGGGAATAGGTACCTAATTTTTATTCTGCATTTCCCCTCAGTGTAACTTAGAAAAAAAGAACAAATCGAAAGGACACTGCTACCCTGATTTGGTCCAATCGTAATCCCCGAGACATGTGCAATGCGCTTTGTTTGTGTGAAAGTCAAACGCAAAGTAGGGAAAGCAATTGCCAAGGAGGAAAACCGAGAAGAAAAGAATGAAAGAAGGGAAAAAAGATTTAATGTCGACTTTGGGTGATTTATTGCCAACAAAATTGCGTCCAGACCAGCGCTCTTGTTGAGTGCAACGCAGCGAGTGAGTGTATAGAAAATAGAATAAATAAAATAAAAGGCAACAGGACACACATAGATACAGATACATATACAGATACAGTAACAGAAACAGACAATTTGGTTCACTTCGGATGGCGGGCAGGAAGGGCAGGAGGTCGGAGGGATGGAGGATGGTATCTGAAAGGCCCGAAATGTTAAGATGGAACTAATAGCATTAAAAACTTGCGTAAATGCACAAAGATAATTTCTATTTTTGAGGGTGTGAAATGTATACACACAGAGACAACGGGGAAAGTGATTTTGGGGTCGGGCGATATAGATAGACTCAAAGATGGATTCGAAGTCGGAATCGAAACACGAATCTTTAAATCTCTGCATCCGAGCAGCGTGAGAAATTCGTTTGCCGTTTTTATTTTTAAATTTCTTTTGTATGAATTCGACCGCTCGGTTTCCTTGTAATAGATCAAAATATTTTTGGGTCAAGGGGAAATCCATTGTGGGGGATGAAGAGAAATTAAAAAAGCAACTTCTGAAAGTCAGAACTTAGGGGAATGTGTAGGTACCAGTGAAACATTTTGAATAATTTAAGTATGCTCTCTCCTCTCTGCTTTATTAAAAATGTATCGAGCTCAGCTGCGTATCCGTGAAATACATTTGCACTTTGCACTCTCCATCAGCCATTTTATTTATTTATGTGTCCACCAATTACTGAGGTCACTCGAAATTACCTAATTAAATAAAAAGGTATAGTCGAAACGTTGTGCATGTGACAAAAAGTTGCGTAAGGGAGGGGAAAGTAAGGGGTAAAAGAGGGAGCTGGGATCTGAGGGTTAAGGGTGTGGGTTCTGGGGTCTAATGGGTTCAAAATATGTTGGGGATTCTTGGGCTGAATGATTTATGCCTTGCCCAGATTCACTGCAGAAGTGACAATTGCGTTGGGGTTAATTAAAATGGATAGGCCAGGGATTCGTTGGGATTATCTTTTTTGGGGAGGCTTCTAAGTCAAGGGACTTAAAGATACATAGAGAGTTTTCTTTCTGTATTTAGAATTTATATTTGTTAGAATTTCACTTATATTGTTTTTAAATATGGATTAGGGTAAATGGAAATGTCGTTCCAGATGTTAAAACAACACAATTGTTACAAAACTCGGAAATATACACTAAAATTGTCTATATAGTAAAATAATTAATATTTGTCAAATATGTTATATACCGTTTTAGATACGTTATTTGAAATGTAGTAATAATAATTATTATTGTAGGTAATTGTCAATATGATTAGCAATCCATCTTAACTGGTATTTAAATTGTGACATTTAGCTAGACTGGTGTACACCTTTGTTTTTTATTTACCTTTAAAATACACTTTAAGGACTCAATAACATATATTTAAAACCTCTGCTAATGAAGCCCGCGCAAAGCAGAAAGTGTTTAAATCAATATCAGCTCAACATCGACATGTGGGAAGATCCAAACCCAGAACCTCAGGCCTGCGGCTTGAGTTTGGCCAGCTGGTCAAGTGAATCGGCGAGGAGAAAGATACACAGATACACGACATGTACGAATACAGATACAAACGTTGGCGATGGCAAAAACCAAATCCCACTAATGTGCTTAAATAAATTTTGCCAGCGTTTAAGCCAATTAGTCCGTCGGACATTTTACTTCTTGTCAACTTTGTTAGCGGTACTGGTACTGCTGGCCGCTTTTGGGGTCGCAGCCCACTTGCAACTCGGCTTGAATCTGCTGACAACGTGCCTCGGATCCGTTGGATGCCCCCTCTGCTCCCCCGTAAAGCCCTCCAGATACTTCTTTATTTTTTTTTTTCGTTTTTTTCTGTCCATTTTTTCTCGGCCAGTGCTTATGCAGCATAAAAGTCCGTGGGATTAAAATTGTATCTGCGCTGTCGGCTGCCGCTTTTCATGCCCTTTTACGCATTTTTGCCATTTTGCTTTAGCCTTGTATCTGTTCTTGTTTAAGCCCTCTCTTTTTTCGTATTTTTTCGGGATTATTGAAGTGCAATTAAGCTAAAATGTCAACGTGGAAAAAATTAATCGTTATACTACCCTTTTTATGGCTTCCCCCTGCGTTTTTTCTTTCTGGCAGCCAACTCATTTGTTGTCCTCTCGTCTAATTCATGTACATGTCAAAAATCGTCTTGCATTATGAGAGCCGACTTGTCGAGCTACTTATAACTTATAACTGAAGATGCCGACGGATTCGGGAGAGAGATTCCTGTTCGCCGTCTGCGTAATGATTTGTAATTTATGATTTTCGGCTCCAGCCAAAGGCTATCTTATCACCAAAAACAGCAGCAGCAGTAGTAGCAGCAGAAAAAGCAGCAAAAGCAGAAGCAGCAACAGCAGCAGACTGACTGCAATTGTTTGCCCAGTTACAGATACTCGGATATGGCAGATACAGATACATTGCTGCTACCGCTACCCATGGCTGCAACGCTAATCGGCGAGTTAACATTTTATCGCTACTGTTCTGGCACCATGCAAATATGTGCTCCTAAAAACAGATCCCCAGATATAATGACAAGAGACCAGTACCATTCGCTGTGGCTGAGGCAAACTCAAATATTTTCGTGTTTGCCGCACGGCTCTGCGCGTTGACAGATTTGCGGGGCAATAAATCTCGGTCGGTTTACTATATTCCCTCCCACTTACTATAAATTTTTATCACAATATCTGAGCGGGAATGTTTAGAAGGCAGCAGTAATTTTGTTATCTTGTCAGCCCAGTGTACAACACGTCCACCTATTTGTACAATATCTACCGACGGGGTGGGGTTGGCGGTCTACTGGGAGTCGGGAGTAGGGAGCGGTACCGAAATCGGTAGTTACTATCTATGAGATATCACCGAGCTAGCCATGACGTTGGGTCGCCTTGTCGCATTATGTCAATGACGACAGCAGCGCCATGAATGTGCACTGATTGTTTAGTTTGGTAATTATACAATGGAGCCACCCACCCGTACCCACTGTTCCCTGTTCCCAACAAACTCCCGGAGCCCCAGTTCTGTCGCGAATGATGAAATCACAGGGACAAGTGGCTGTCTAGCTGGCGGAAGGTGGATCTTCTGGCGTGTGATAAGGGACTCATATTAGCTGTGAGTGGGACAGGTAGCCTGAATGAATTCCATTTATTCGGCTTAGGATTACCTAGAATGTTTTATATTTAAGCTCTTAGCCGACTAAAACTGCTCTTCATACTTACGTTCACTTATATATTAAAGGATAAAATTACGTTAGAAAAGGTATCTTATTTGTCCATGTTTGGGTTGTTCCTCACAATTTCACAGCAAATAACAGCTGATGTATAACTTAAATTAAAAAGTGTGTTCACACACTTGGAGTAATCGACTTAACTTAGTTATCGATAGGAAATATGTCGCAGTGTAAGAAGGCCTTAAATGACATACAAGGAAATACAGCCCTTTGATACTTTATACTGATGACGCTGCGAAATTCTTTCACTCTCTAACTTTTGACAGTTGCTGTAGTAGCCGAGGCAGTAATAGAAATTTAAAAGAATTTAACAAATCGATTGGCTTAAAATGGCCCAAGTTCCTTTGGCAATTGTCTCCCACAAGCGCCAAGTGTGCAGCCTGTACAAGAGGGCTCTTCGCAATTTGGAGGCCTGGTACGATCGACGCACCGACTACCGCTACCGCGCCGTGCTGCTCCGTGCCCGGTTTGACGAGAATCGCTGCAAGGATATGGCCGAGAGTGTCGTCCTCCTGGCCTGTGGAGAAAAGGAGCTCTTCGAGACGAAGCATTACCAGCCCCGGTTCTTCACCAACAGCATCGGTGGCATCGCCTTCGAGCGAGAAGTGGAGTGTCCGGACTGGATGCTCGACTTTTGGCATCCTCTGGAGAAGGCCCAGTACCCCGAGTACTTCGCCAAGCGGGAGCAGCGCAAGAAGGAGTACGTATCCTTGTGGGAAAAGCAGTATGGCAAGTCGGATCCCCAGGACCACTAGTCTCAGAATGCAGCAGTCACGTCACATCTAATTTTGTTTATATAAATAAATATGTTGGAGCTTGGAGAATGTACATAGACAGCGGGATATGAACCAGGATTAATTCAAACTTCATTTCATCGAAATATACTTGAAAAATCAAATTTTGGGTTATTTTTTTTTTATTTCTTGGAAAGTCTATTGGAGAAAAAAAATAAAAAATGATGAGTACCAAAAAAATGTATAAGAAAGGATGGTAAATGAAATAATACGTTTGAAATCAATTTGACCATTTTAAGAACATTTGATAAGAACAATTTTGTTTTTAAAATACATTCCGTAATTTTTCAATTGTCCTTATATGAAAATATTAAGTTGCCATAATATTCCTCAGATTTCAGCAAATTAAAACCCTTTTTGAGCATAAAATAAATAACTTGCTTTTGGCTGTATTAAATAAATATTTCTTTATTATGTCTAGCGATAAAAATATCCCAGCGAAACCTTTTCCCCAACCTCTCAACCTACCAAGCCCCAGCCTTAATTTCCTGTCTAGTTCCCCCCACCCAACGGAGCTATTTTAGATCTTTATCAGTTAACAGATATGAATGTCCAATGTCGTTATGACGAAGTGGCCATGTCCCCGCCGCAACTCAAACATAATTTTTTGCACCTAACAAATATCCCCAACGCCGTGTGTCCATGTCGCCAGCATGGCTATCAGCTCTGGGCCATCTGCTTAGGTGATGATATTTAGTTGACATCAGCCTGCCACTCTACCACTCTGCCACGCCCCCCCCACGCCCTCCAGCCTTTTGGCCATGGTTATGACAGACAGGCACGCACAGCTCATGGAGACACATTGGAGGCCACAAAAATCACGTGTCTCAATTGTTTTTGGCGATTTTAATGGGCCTGAAAATAGGAAAAGGGCAGGGCATAAATTAAATTTGAATAAAAAACCAATTCGTCTTCGTTAGCTGGGCCACCGATCCATCGGACCCCGGAGACCGGAATCCGGAGACCTAGAACCAAAAAAAGCGGTTATGACATTTGGCCAGCGGAGGAGAAGTCGAGTACAAATGGAGAAGCGGTCAGCTAAGTGACCGCAACGCCCACGCAGCTCGAAGGACCCAACTTCTTCCGACTCTGTTACCGAAAAATGGGTAATTGCTTAATTATGAAAATTCCCTTTGTAACGCCTGGTGTGCGTGAGGGCCGGAAAAAAGGGGCTGGGCCGTGGTCAGCCGCATTTTTACAAGCAATTGCCAGTGGTCCGAACGAACCATCAACCATCTGTCCATCCCTCCATCCGTCCGCGCAGCGACACTCTAATTAAATTATCAAAAATTCATACTGACAGCGGGCAAGGGATCGCGCCAACGACGGATTGACCTCGATACACTAAAAAAAATTTATTAACATGTATAACATGATCCAAATCGCGGGTTTACGGCGGTTGGCATACTTTATTGAAAATAGAATAGAATATCTTGCACCCTAATGGGCAGAGTATAATAAGTTCAACCTATACAAATTAATACAAATTATAATTAATCATCTAACATTTATATATTTTAAATGTTTTATAAAGTTCTTTATATTCTATCATTTTTGTATTATTTAAAATGTACTTACAAAGCAAAAAATACAAAATTTAAAATATATACAATTGATTGCTATTCTGAATACGAGAGCTGCGTTATAAATTTTTTTTTTTTTTGGATCCTCTTTGGAAACACATTTACTTACAAGTTCAAACATTTCTTTATTTCTTCATATGTTTCAAATTGTTGGTCATATAACTTTTGAATTTGTAAGTGTCCAATCCAATTTTGCTACTTATTAGTCCCCGCTTTTTCTGAGTGCAGCTACTCGACCAGCTCATTAATTCGCATGTAGTTTAGTTCATCCTTCGGCCGCCTGGTGACATTCATTTGCCGGCTAAATGCTTTCTGACATTGTTTAATTGCCATGGCCAGCTCGACGGTTGCCTGTTGGCTCCGGCTCCGGCTCCTGGCTACGACTTGTGCCAGTTTCAGCTCTGGGGAACCCTGCTTATCGGCCGATGGACATTTGATAAATGATTGCGCCTGCAGTTTGCGTTTCAATTTGTTTACCTTGCTGCAGGAGTGTGCCCAAAGTGTCATCCGCCGCGTTGACAGCTGTCAAAATTGCGGCGCTGGCGCTGTGAGCAAAATCGATAGACGGACTACCAGTTGCCACTGGCTTTTCCGCGAGCTTTCCTCTCGACTCCCAAATCTGCGCAGTGAGATTCCTGAGCTTCCACTCAGCAGCTTCCCGACCAGAAACAAATAAGCAGAAGAGAAGAGTTCGCACATCCTTTGTTTACAATGAACAACTCCAGTAATTTGGGAGGCTGCTGCTCTGGGGCTGCAGGACCTACGTTGATGACGGCCCGGAGCAAATTCTCCGGAGAGGAGAGTCCTTTATGCAGGACTATATGACTACTCTGTGTGTGTGTGTGTGTGCGAGTGTTGAGCGCAAAGTGTCAACGCGTGCTTTGGCATTCTTCTACGGCTTTTTTTCCCCCCGTTTTCGTCAGAGTTCCAAGTTAAACCGGGCATATGGCAATCGATGGGCGCATTGGCAACGCTCAGTTGTATAAATATTTTATTTATGCAAAAATCCCATCTGTTGTACTCGTACCTTAAGCCAGGGGGTTTCTTATCATCGAAGGGTTCCGCCGTGCGTGGGCGTTCTTATCGGCCAGGGGTTGCAATTTTAGCATTACATTTTATTGTACGTCGTATAGGTGAGGGGGAAAATCTATTAATATTTGAAGGGTATCCGGAAATGTGTTACAGTTCTAATGCAGCCCAACTTGTTACAAATATTATTTACTCTTACATTTAAAAACAAGAGAAACAAAATTTCTTTGTTTTTATATATTTATTGAAATTTATTTTACTTTTTTCGCTGTTTTACCATTTGTTTCGCAACTGTCTAAGGATGCTGAATTCAATGAAGAGGTTAATTAATAAGAAAACTATTATTATATTTTATAGGACTTTATAGAAGACTCATAGCAGAACCGTTTTAGGAAAGTTAATAAACTTAAATTAATTTACCTAAAAAAATAATACTTTAAGAGCATTACCAAGGTCGTCTTTGAAAATGGCAAGCCCTGGCATAGAGCTTTTTATTGTTTTCGGTTTAGACGCAGCAGCCGCTGCCAAAGGAGAGAATGTTTTGGCCGTGTGGTTCAGTGGCTCAATGGGTTCGGGTTCGGGGGGTGGGGTTTTGGTGTTTTGGGTAGCGTTTGGGAGGTGTGGTGCCGGGTGGAGCGCAGCGCAGCACAGCACAGCACGGTACACAACCCACAGCCCACCGTGCACCGTTGGTCGGGTTGAAAACTATTCTGTCCCGTGCGCTTTGATGCTCACTTCACTTTTCCACGTTCCACGTACTTTTTTTCACCCATTTTCTTTGGCCGAACTTTTAGAAATGCTTTCGCTGTGCGAGTGTGTGTGTGCGTGGTTCGATGGCGGCAACGTTTTTGGTCCTTGATGCTGGTTTGAGTTTCGCTGGGAGACGCTGTGAGATTTTGGCTTTTGTCGCTCTCTTTGACAAACTCAACGCAACGCAACGCGACGCGACGCGAGTGGGCTCTTGGCCAGGCTTTTGTTGTTCCCAATAAAACAAAAAAATAATAACACAAAATAATTCATTAAAATAAAATACGTGAACTCACCCACGGTTTATCTATTAGTTTTTCAAACAACTGCATGTGCCGAAAGCAAGGAGCCTCGAAGCTAGAAAAATCGAAATAGTCGCGAGATTAGAAATTTTGTGTGTGTGTGTGTTCGTGTGTGTGGGAAATGGAGAAAGGACATCGCGTCGCCATGTTAGACGTGTTTGTTGTCGTTGTCGCCGCCACGTTGTCGGTGAAGTTGTGTCCTGGATGCTGCTAAAGCAAGGATAACTATATCCCATCCTCGGCCTGGAGGACCGGATAATGGCGCAGGAACTGTTAGTAACTCCATAATCCCCACCAGAAAGTGATAGAGGGAAAACCCGCCAGCGGAGGAAAGCGGGAGCACCGTTAAACGTAGACGTTATCCCGTAGACCCCCCGGAAAATCCCCGTATCCCCCAGAAATTCCCACAGTGTTTTAGTTGCTCGCTCGCTCGCTCTCTCCCCCGCGTGTGTGTGTGTGACTTTCTCTCTCTCGCGCCGTCACTCTCTTCGCACTCTCTCCGCACTCTCTGGCGTGACATGTTTATGTTTTGGCCACCGACGGCGCTCTCAGTTGCCAATTTTGACAGCCAGAACTGTCAGTGTACAGTGGCGAAAATCGGGAAAATACCCCGCAAAAACCTTGTTGACAAACCGCATCTTAAGGTGCAGTGAAATGGACAAAAACAAGACTCAATTACATCACTTAATGGTTCCTAGTTGATACTAAACTGATACAAAAGACGCAACATAGCGGTGGATATCTCTGGGAAACAGGAGGTGGATTGCAAAACTGATTGGTAAGTTCAAATAACATTAAATTAAGTCAAACAAAGCACTAAAATATGTTTACGTGTAATAACCAAAAGTAGTTATGGAAATATTCAGTGTTTCCACCAAAAATGTAGTAATTAGTAAACATTCTTCTCTGGCTGATCTTATGTATTTTATGTTTTTTAACAAAAACCATTAATGTTTTTTAATATAATTATAATTGTAAATATAAAGTATCTTGAAAAAAATAAATGAAAATTGTCCCGTTTTAATATTAATGGTTCCTGTCCACGTTTTTGTTTTATTTTTTCCTTTTTAAACCCAACAAATAACGAACTCAAATATTATCGTATCTTAGTTTTTCATAATCTTAATATATATATTTAACTCCACAAAAAAGACAGGTAATTTTAATTCGTTTATTTAAGTTTCTACTCAAATGTTTCATTCAAGATGTACAATTTCTGAACCCAAATGAACTTGCTTTGTGCTCAACAAATCATTGGCATTTCATTATTGACTAAGTATTCAAACGCCATTACGAATTTGAGCCACCATCCTGCATAATAGCCCGAAAGCCAGAGTCCGAGTCCGACTAAACCACCCACATTATCTAATATTTATCAAGCCCAAACGCCTCCGCCCGCCAGAATCTAATTTAGCCCGACCACGACTGGGCTATACTGACAAT